TAAAAAGATGGAGAATATACAATTGATTCCAAAAATACAAAAATGTAGGCTTTGACCCTTTCTCCGAAATCATAGTAGAAATTTGAAAGCCTTTAATATTTAACACAGACCCAAGCCGAATTTCCTTCATCCTTTTCTTCAGCTCATTCTTTATGCTAACAGAAAATTTGATGTTTACAAAGGAATGGATCAACATGCACCCAAGTGCGCGATTCTCAACATAAATAAGATCAGAGGCCCAATAAAATTTTCAATAGCCCTACCAAAATTCAAAATCCAGCATGATTCAGTTCACTTCTATCCCTCTGACTTAGAACAACCAAATTATGCAGAGGCGGCTTGAGTATTTTGGAGGCCCCAGACGAAAACTATTTACTATGTACAAATCACTTTTAAAATCAGATAAATTGAATAAAAATCGCCTTATTAAAAAAAGCGTATTCAAAGTCCACGATATAATGTTTGTAATATTCAAAAGGATAAATTTTAAAATGCAAACTTATTCAAAACACAAGGCAAACTTGTACTTGTAAAAGTATTAAGAGACTTCAAGAACGAGACTCAGAGAGAAGAGCTGAAGAGTCTTAGTTGATTCACTAACCAAGGACCCATGTCGACGGCGGGCAGTGAGACATATATACAGTAGCCGATTAGCGGTCTATGTTGGACGTTGATGCGTGTTGAGATTGGCTTTTGATAGTTTTTTCCTAACTTTAAGGTGTCATAAGTCTCAATTTTAAGGTCAAGTCATATTTACCGGCCGTTGGTTCGAGTTTTGGTATTTTTGGAGTCCAAATCAGGGAATTTGAGCCTGGCACCGGTGTTTGAGAAGCAATAGGAACGAGTTGAGAAGCATTTTAGAGTTGATTAGGAGCATTGGAGATCAGTGAGGTGTTAAAGACAAAGTTTTGAATACAAAAGAGCTCTAGAATTGGCTACAGGATCAAAAGAAGACGAATAGAGCTTGAAAACAACGGTCAGGATGACGTTCTGTCAATCGTTCAAGCATATCGTTTCTTAGGAACATCCAAAAAACATGATTCAAGTTTCATATGAAAGACAACTTCAAGGGATACAAATCATATGAAGACACCATTGTGAGAATCTGAGAGAAGCAAGGTGACAACAGACGATGAAGTCAGACAACCTCTGTTGAGATTTCAGAATGCGACCTTCCACCATTTTATTCATATATTTTTATTGGATGATTCAAATCCAGTTTTGCAAGTTGTGTTGGATAGAAGACTTCATTAGCTACAACTTTGATGAAGGAAGAATAGTCAAAAGTGAACTATAAATCTGATTTCTGCTTGTAGTTGCCGCTTGATGTATTGGCGGTCTGCGAATAACACCTAATACTAATACCGGAGTAGAATTTTTTGGAGGCCCCCTTGGTAGTTGAGGCCCAAGGCAGTTGCCTGGCCCAACTGCCCTCAAAGCCGCCCCTGAAATTATGTTTGAGTGAGCATGACTAGTGGTGGACTCAGGCCGGGTGGCCCGACCCGAGACCGGCCCGGGACGGGTACTGTTTCGGCCTGGCCTGAACCGGTAGCCCGGTCAGTGACCGGTCCGGGTAGGTCCGACCCGAGGGGTTTCCGGGCCGGGCTCGGGTCACCCAAAACAAGGTCGGGCACGGGCCCGGTTCTGGCCAAATTGATTGTTTTTTTTTGTTTTTTTTTCATTTGTTTAGGCTCCACCCGGGTTGGGCTTGACGTTTCGGAGGGGTTTGGGGGGTTTGGAGGGTGGGGGTGAGGGGGGGCTGGGGTCAGGGATAGGTAGGTAAGCAAAAAAAAAAATTAACCAAGCCCGAGACCCGACCCGGACCGGACCCGGTGGCTACCCGGGTCGGTCCTGGGTCCATCTATTCAGACCTGCCGGCCCGCCCGGGTCTAGGCCCGACCCGGCCCCGGCCCGAATCCACCCCTAAGCATGACCATCAAGAAGTAGAGAACAATTTTGTTCTCAAAAGAGGGTGAACATCCCCCACTCTCCGATGCTAACACATGACTTGGCAATACATTAAAATTTTGCAATTTTTATAATTATAACCTTTTCATTTTTGGTTCAATTTTTTGAAAAAACATATCAATATTTTTTAATTTTTTATCCATCTTTCATATGATACTAATATTACATATTTTGGTGATATTGCACCCGATTTTTAAAATTATTAATGTATGCAGCTCATCAGCCCAAAAATCGTTAAGGAGTGAGGTGCAAATTGAAATGATTTTATAGCAAATTGACATGCAGACATTAATGATTTTGAAAACAGGGTGCAAACTGAAATATCACCTATTTTAGAATTAGCATGACACCGGTACAACCTTACCAAATTAACATACTGTAACACCCCGATTTTTGTAAACCAGTTACTTAAGTTATTTTTATTTAAAATCATGTTCTTTTATGAATAATGTGTCTATTCTTTTATCATGTTTTTTTTATGGCAGGTAACGTTGACCGGTAAGCTCTAATAGATTTTAATAAAGAAGTAAATTATATTTATATTTTATTAGTATGTTATTGAAAGAGGAGATAATAATTCAGTTGGGCCGGAAACATATTTTAGAAGACTTAGAGAGCCAAATCAGGTATTTTAGTCCAGATAAATATCTTTTGAGAAATTTACCTAAATAGGACTAAAACTTATGAAAAAATCCACCGTAGGACTATCACTTTTCTGTTTAACACCATAGGACTAAAATATAGATGGAATACCAAAATTGCCCTGCAAAGCCACCTTTCTTCCGTTCGTGACTTATGAAGGTTGCGCTGAAGGATGTCTCTGCATCACCTCTGCAACTTCCCCAGATAAGCTTCTTCTTCTTTAATGCTTCTATATTTTCTTTATTCCACTTTTACTCTTTTCTTCTCTTTTGGATATTCATTTTTTTATAAATTCCATCTAATTCACTTTAAATCGTTCATACTAGTTTTCTCACCAATTGAACCTGAAAATGGCATAATTGCTATGTTATTCAACACTGATTTGGAAAAAATGTCAATGTCTTGATATTACATTTATCAGGATGGCAGTTTTTATTTGACATTTCTAAAGAGTAAAAATGACACCAACTTGACATTCTCCACGACTGTCATGTTTTTATATATGGAAATGTCATCTCCATGACATTTTGAGAACAAAAATGACATTTTTTACAAAACAGAGTAAGAAGAAGAAGAAATCAGATGAGAAAGAGGAATCTGGGAGATAATGTTCGAATGTGAAGAGGATGAGAGAAAAGGAAAGAGAGGCAAAGAACATAAGGGGAGTAGCAGAACAACCTGGAGTTCTGGACCGGACGTCGTAGAGAAGGATCAATTGTTGAGGTGTAGGGAATTGCAGGGGAGAGGATTGATTTTAGGTTGCAGGATAAGAGGACTGATGTTGGAGTTGCAGGAGAAGAGCATGACGAAGAAGAAGAAGGAGATCGTCGCTGGAGGCGGAGAAAAGGATACACACAGGGACATTTTAGACTTTGCGGAAAACGTAAAAACTGATATAGGAGCGGATGACTCCTATATGGAGGATAAAACATATTAAGTCCTAATTTGAGTTTTTATCTATGTTTTAGTCTTAATCGACTGGAGAATATAATGGAGAATATAATGGCCGTAGCTGCTTTATAATGGCTTTATTTATCTATGTCTTATCTATGTTTTCCATCCACTTGATCATCGTTATCTAATGGAGAATATATCTCATGATTATGGGAGTCTTAATGGCCGTAGCTGCTTTATTTTCCATCCACTGGAGTCGGACCAAGTGTTGTTTTTCTCAAGAGCAGCATACTCATCCATCATGGCTTGACGCCACTCAGGATGTGAGGATGTTTGTTTGTAGGACGTGGGGGCTACAGGAATGGAAGAGGTAGTGGTATGGAAATTATACTTAGGATTGGGTTTGACAATGTGGTTCTGAGAGCGAGTGACTGGTCTATGGGGCTGGACCAGAGGTGGGCTGGGTACTGAAGTGGAAGTGCTGGGTGATACCGACGGCGTAGATGCTGAGGTGAGAGGAGAGGATGGTGAGTGTTCTGAAAAAGGAGAATAGATAGGAGAAGATGGTGAATGTGTGTGTGTGTGAGAGATTAGTCCATATGATTTTGTGGGATGGAGACTTGCTGGGGAACCTGAGATGGAAGCGGGATGACATTCGAATGGGAAATATTGCTATCGGTTGAAGATGGGTTGACCAAGGCAGTAGGTGGTACTGATAAAGGCGTGGTAGGAGTGCATTTCAACTGTGGGATAAAGGCGTGTAGGTACCGTTGGTGTGTTTCGAAAAACAAAGAAAATTAATTAATAAAATTAATTAATTAAAATGACTAAAGAAAACAGAAAATAGATGAAGCAGAATTAGCTAAAGCTCGTGCAACGCACGATATCCTTAAAACGTATTCGTTGCCTCCCGATGTGCTAGGAGCGTTGCAACGATCATTTCCCATGATACGATGACTACAAACAATAGTTTGAACACTCAAACAAATTGTTTCAGTGAACGAGAACAAAGAATGAACACTTAGAAATTTTCAGGGAGAGTTAGAGGTATTTTTAGCTTGAGAAATTCGTGAGGGATGTATTGTGCGTTGTTTTTGTTGCAAACCACCTACCAGCCTTTACACAGGGAAGATTTGTTGTGCGTTAATTACGTTTTTAATGGACATTACCGTTGGACATCAATGTCCAGCACGTTGGCATTGAATCGTCTGTACCTGTCCATTTAATTGCACGGCTTCAACCCTCTTAATAACTATTGGCTAGATTTTGATCAAAAGACCACAAACCATCTTGCAGCACCCGAGAGATGTCACTCTCATGATAAAATTGGATAAAAAAACGCATATCCTCAATCTATTCAATACTCACTCTTCTTCCCGGACACCATATCATTATTGTCATCGTCTCACGAAAAGAGATAGGCCAACCAAATTTATCTATGGTAACCATAGCTACAACACAAAAACGTGGATATTCCCCTTTCCCTCTCCTAATATCCAATGCGCCAGATTTGAATACTAAATCACTATTTTCCTCTTCCTTCATTAGATAACGATGACCAATTACAATTCTCATAGAAATCTGCCAACAAGTAAATTGAATGCACTATCCAGCAACATAACCATTTACAATGAAACGTAGTATACCTCGACCAGAGCAATGAAACTCATTCGGACCACAATCAGACGAAGAAGAAGCCTAACAATGAAAACTTTGAAATAAACACACCTTCACCCATTGAAAACTTTGAATCCAAGAAGCACCCGTAACCCAGTCTCCAATCTTGTCCTCTGCGCCATTGCTGAGTCGGACAAAAATATAGCAAATCGAAATAGGATGAGGAGTGTGAAGTTGATGTTGTCGTCTCCCAGTCTACGATCTTGTCCTCTGCGTCGTTATTGAGCTGGACGAGAATAGACAAATCAATCGTTGCACGCCTGAGGGATCGCTTGCCTCCATGGGATTAAGGTGGTAATTTTATTTCATAAACCTAGTGTTTTTAAATAACCTTCAGCTTAAATTAAGTATTTTAAATTTTAAAGCTTAAAGCAAATGATCGAAGATGTGCTTTAAACCATTTTTTATTTTCCCGATTTTTTTAACCAAATAGTCTAACTTATACTTTCACTATCAAAGCTACTTTTCTTTGAAGCATTGTCAACTTTTACTATTCACCCCAGCCTTTTCATAAAATCTCTAAAAGTGACTATTTATGAAAAATAGAAGCAAACGGAAATACTTTTTAAATCAAGAGCTTAAAAGGCGAAGTGAGGGCTAGTACATGCTTGAAACAAGGCATTGAATTGACTTTTGTTGAAGCAACTCTTTCATAGAGAGTATGTGTCTACTAGCTAAGATCTCATATTGTCATAAACATCAAACATGACAGTCATTAACTGGAAATGACAAGGTCAATTACTAGTTATATTTCACCACTCAAATAGAATAGGTGAATTCTCACTTGGATATCTAAAGCTGAGCTCTAAAGCTTCAGTTCTTATATGTAAGGCTATTATTAGTAGTACTGCTCGTATTATTTTTTAACAGAAGCTATTCAAACTGCCTAAATCATGTTAGACATATATATATAATATAGTTGGGAGAATGACTAGCTAGCTAGGAAAAGTTATTAAAGAGTTTCATTGAATTCCACTTAAGATAAGTTCATAAGATCAACTATGGGTGGAGGCTGAAATTGTTGGTGGAGCTATTTGCTGCTGATTGCAAGGTAGCGGCGGCGGGACGGGGTGAGCGATGAAGGTGGGAACGTCTTCCCCCGGCATCAACACTGACACTCCTCTAGCATACACTGTCATCTGAAATGGTAGACCAACAACGTAACATTCGTTAGATTTAAAAGAATGTAACTTTTTAATGCAACTTCATATAAACAAATAATGTATTCAGCCATTCAGGTCCCCTATCATTCTCTTTTTACTCTATTTCTATCTTTTTCCTTATTAATTTGTTAATTCATCATAATGAAAATTATGATGAATTTGAGAAGGAATTTCAAATATTCTATTAAATCCTGGGCGTCTCTCCAATTATGAATGCTATATACTTAAAAATCAGATGTCCTCGATTTCAATTGATTTTTATGAGATTGATTTATTAGAAAATGAATGTCTATAGAGTGTTATGGATTTGTAACCTAAAACAACACTAGATACAGCTTATCAAAATTCAGCCACTTGTCCATGGAATCGTGGATTTGATAGAACTATTGAATCTCTATTGAAAACCACCGACTATAATCCTCATAAGTCCAATTTATTACTTTCTCTGTCTCTTATAACTTTGACAACTTTTCTTTTTTGGATGTTTCGTTAACTTTGTCACTTTCCCTTTTAAGTAAAGAATTTGTGGTTCCAGTTCATTCTCTCTCCTCTGCACAAAACTCAACCAAACAGTTTGTACTTTATTATTTATTGTGCCGGTCAAACTTGACAAAGTTATTAGAGACGAAGGGAGTATGTTACACCAATCTTATATGAACAAATACTTCAATGGCCCTCTTAGTCCAACGGGTACATTGTGTATAAAAGGGTCGAAAACTCTTTAATGAGCTACCTATAATCTAAAATAATAATCATATAACAGTAAACCCTAACTCTAATATCACTTTAAGACATGAGTTTCATCATAAAAGATAGTTATCATAAAAGATAGCTAGATAGGAAGAGTAACTTACAATCTCATATAGTGGTTTATTATAGGGGTGAGCATTTCGGTTTTCGGTTCGGTTTTCTTCGGTTTTGGTTCGATTTCGGTTTAATCAGTTTGATAGAAAATGTACCAAATACAAACCGATTAAGTTTCGGTTTGGTTTCGGTTTGGTATGGTTCGGTTCGGTTTGGAGTTCGGTTTACAAAAGTATTAAGGTTTGGATTAAAAAAAAAATTAACTCAAAATAATGAACCAAGGAACGATAGTAATGAACCAAATATAATGTTAGATATAAATTTGCAAACAGTAACAAAACACATAAGAACCAAAAATATATAAGCATGACACATTTGTAAGCAACAACAACTGGAATGAATCAAATTATATATAAAGCCGAAACAAAAACAAAACTAGTGCTTGTAAGTAATGAACAAAATATGTAGTAGTAGTAAATAATAAATTATAGTTAATACTATCTACTTAAACGACTATTATTATTACAGTTGTGAATGTAACTCTTGTAGTAAACTCTAGTCCTCGATACTAAAATTGAAGAATTAAAGCTTAAAAAAGATTAACATCAATCAAAATAATGAGAGAAATCTTATATTTTGGTTTGGTTTAGTTTGGTGTAAGTTGGTTTTGATTTGTTATTTTAAAAAAATAAGAAATTATTTCATTTTTAGATTAGGTCGGTTTTGTTCGATTTTATGATTTCGGTTCGGTTTGGTTCGGTTTAATACGGGTTGGGAGGAATACTACCAAACTCAAACCAAATTACAAATGGTTCGGTTTTGGTTCAGTTTAATTCGATTTGGTACAATTTGGTTCAGTCAATCCAAACCGTTATGCCCACCCCTAGTTTATTATGTTAAAACAATCCGATGCATCATTAATTTCTCTACTTACAGTTGTCTTATCTTTTATAAAATTGTTTTTACTACTTTGTCCTCCTAAGATTGGAATAAGAGAGTGATGCGATTATTAAGAAAAATTGAATTCTGTAGTTGATATTGAAGTGATAAGTTTGAATTAAGAATGAATTAGTAATTATCAAATGTGGTATGATACAAATTTAGTGGAACGAACGGAAAAAATAAAATGGGACAAAAGTAGGAGGACGAAAGGGGAACTGTTTAACAATTACTTTTTGTATACAATTACTTATTTTTTTGTATTTTTATTAGGTTTTCCGTATGAGTTTTGGTAATTTACTTTTTACTTGAATATTACTAATTTAGAGTCAATTTCCAAAAATGTGACCACTTTTATATATAAAAGGACAAAATTGTGACCAAGAAGATCATATATTTGGAAAAACATTGTCTGCCAGATTTTTATGTCACTGTTAAATATTTATGTCACTGATCTATGTCATTTTTGAATGTCACTTTTAAGTCATTTCCGCCGTCAAACGTGTCACTGTGCCGTTAACCATGTCACTAAGCCGCAGTCGGCTACATTTCCCGGTGAAAATGAGATCTACCGCCATCGGTGACACGCCAACTCCGATCACTTTGCCCCATTCTTCCCTGGCCTCTCACAGCCCCGTCACCAGCCTACCCCGTCCTATCGCCGCTGCCGACCATCACCTTGGACCACCACCCCACCCCGGCTTGACTAGCCAGTCCCCAGTTACCTCTCCAGCCACTGCCACCGCCCAGTGAGCAACACCACTGCCAATCAATCCTCATGTCCCTGCCACCTTCGCATTGACCCGGCCGCTGAGGGTCATCACCGTCAGCCAGCTGCCCTTAGCCCCATCCTCCGGCCCCTATCCAGCCCCTATCGCGCCCCCACCACAGCTTCCCCAAAACCATGCCCAGTCAGCCCTTCACTGGCCCAAGCGCAGCCCCCTGCAACAGCCTCATCTTACCACCACAACCCACCCTAGCCCCTGCAACTGCGACATCCCACCACCACAACCCGCCTCCAAGCTGCCGCACCCAGCCACTGCCCTAGACCCTACCCTCAATCCCCTCCCCCTACCCCAGGCCCCTGCACTCACCCACTCTCCCATCCCCTACCAGCACTCCTCAACCCAACGCCGCCCCCCAATTTTGTTTCTTCAGCACAACGCCGCTCCCAATTGAGCCTCCGTAGTACAATGGCGTCCCAAATTGCGCCTCCGAAGCACAAAGTCGTCCCCTTAAACCCTAACTGTTGGTGAATTGGCTCCTGGTTACAGCGATGATGGCGACAATGATGAAGCTCGCAGATGCGAGAATGGATGCGAAGCTTGCAAATGCGAGAATGGACGCGAAGAAGTTGCATTAGAGACAATGAAGGTGAGAAGCTACAAGGAAGAGCGAAGAAGAGAGAAAGGAGTCGGTCGCGTTAGAAGAGGGTTGCGATAGGAGAAAAGAAAGTCGGTCACTTTTTGTAAAATTCTAAAATGATTATATTTCTTTTCTTTGAAATCCCATGGGTAATATTTATGCCATTATTTCTTGGTTTATTCAAAATTTATTCAATTTTGAATAATTTGGAACCTAGAGCATAGTTAGGAGTAAAAAGAGCCTAACAGGAGCAAATAGAGTTTTGTTTTGAATTTAAGTGTAATAATGCATATTTATTTTTATTATCAAATTATATGTTACGCCTGTTTAGAGTCAAGCAACGCTGTTTATGAGTTCTAGTAGAATACGCAATGGTGGAACCAGAAATTTATGATTATAGAGGTCAATCCTTAAAAATTTTACATTGCAGGGACCAAAGTTTAAAATATTAATATATTTTCTATAGATTAAAAGTATTTATACATAATATATACTTAAAAAAAATCATGCAAGGGCTGAGGCCCCCTCCGGCCCCTCCCTGTCTCCACCCCGAGAATACGTACTTATCCTTTCATACTCCGTATTTGGTAAATGAAGAGGTGAATGGGAAGATATAATCAAATCAAATGTTACCCTTATTCAGTGTCAAACTCAGCGTTATTTTTGAATGTCAGTGTAATCCGCATTCATCTTTTACAGTTGTACTCTGTATAATTTCTAAATAAATTACCAAAAGTCCGAGATTAAAGATCCTTCCTCCCGTGAATTAATTAAAGTCATTGTTTAATTATAAAATTTCGATCTAATTAAAAACACTTTTAGAATCATTTTTATATACTTTCGTCCCCTTAAGATTGGGTCAAGGAAATAGAGTGTGATTATTAAGATAAGTGAAATTACGCAAGAAGATAAAGTTAGTGGGATAAAGTACTATTTTTCATTTTTTACGAAAAAGATGAGATGAGACAAAGCCAAGAGAACGGAACCGTACTATTTTTGATTTTTTTCATGTGAGTCCTTATTAATGATAACTTATACTCCCTCCGTCCCGTAAAGAATATGACAAGAGAGAGTGACACACAAATCAATAAAAAGTGGTTTATGTGGTTGATATTGAATTGATAAAGTAAGAATAAAGTAAGAATGATTCAGATTTGCACAAACTTTACCAAATTTGATATGAGACAATCTTAGTATGACAGACCAATAAGGTAAAATGGGACCATCATAGCGGGACGGAGATAGTACTATCTGTATCATTCATCTTTTCAAGAAAGTGGTTTAGATCAGCTGATTGCCGATTCAGACTCTCATACAGAAGGTCTCGAGTTTGAAACTCTGTTCAAGGAGTTTCAATCTTCTCACATTAAATCTATTTATTGATGCATCTTTTGTGTATAAATTTTTTTCTAACCAAGTTCCCAATGAGAATATTGAATAATACGTACCACTCAGGATGAAATTTGAGTGGGTTGTATATTTAACCAATTTTTTAGAATTGAACGAAACAAATAGTCATTTCAATAAGACAAACGCACATGGTGATGACAAAAAGGGACCCATAAGCGAAAAAAAGCAGCTAGAAAAGCAGACATAACATCACATTAATGTCACTCATGTTTGGTGTGAGATATCTTTAGAAATCTTTTGGAGCTAAAAACTACCATACGGTTCGGTAACTTGTAATCTTTTTATCTTTCAAGACATACCGGAGTACAAAAATTACGCCTTCTTTGTCACTTAATAGTTAATACACTTATGACTTGTGAGTGTGGGCTGTGGGCACAGTAAAATTTGGAAACTTATGTTTGTAGACTTTCATTTATACACGTTATATATATGTCCATATATTTTATGTTTAGTACTACGTATAACAATTCATCAAAGAACAAAAAGTATCTATCACACAGGCAAAATACACCGGTGTGTACAAGACGCGATAAATTGACGTGTTTTAAAAGCTCTCTCAAAAAGTTTCTTATGGTTTATGGTAAAAGATGCTCTAAAAAAGCTTATGATTCCAACCAATGTGATTTCCATAAGATGGTACCAAATTTATATAAGAATAAATGCGGAAGGGTAATGATCTTTTGGATTGACTTCACTTTGTGGAATAAATGAGAAAATTTCGATTTTAAAAAACAATTCATCAGGAAATCCTATTTTAGTGGATGGGAGCATATATGCAGTAATCTAAGACAAAATTATGGCATCTTGATATCAGAGTATGAATATTGTGTATGGGCCCTATGTATCAACTTCATTACCCCATCAAGTTTTGTTTTAGAAAAGAATACAAGAATAAATCTAAATTGTTTGCAATCGCACCAAAACAAAAGCTGGATGAGAATAAAAAACAACAGACAATAATTCTGGAGGATAACTGGTGAGCTATGTGCCTTTTTAAATATTGCTATAATGAAATGTATTGAAGTGACACTACTACCCTTTTCAGATACTCCCTGTTGTTCCTCTTGATTTAATAACCAAATATAATTAGGCTTTTAAAGATTTAGCAAGCTAAGCGAATCTTTGTCATTTTTTCTGGAAAAAAACAATTTCGTCATTTTATCAAATTAATAATCACTCCGGTTCTGAAAGATCTTTACACTTTTCATTTTTAGCAGTACCAGAAAGATCTTTACACTTCCTTATTTGCCTTATTTGACAAATAAATCTACACAAAACAGTGCCAAACAATGTCAAACAATGCTTATTTTTTAAAAACTATGAAGCCAAAGTTTCAAGATCTTTTGGAACGCGAGAGTATACAACTACAAGATCTACTACTCCCTACGAGAAGCACTAACTTGAACCATAAGTCAAGTAATCTAGCCATTTACAGTGAAGGATATAGTTAGTAAAACTGTAAAACGTCTGCAACAAGAAAAGGGATTATAAAATACGGATCATGATTATGAAAGAGTTTTTTATGAATCATCATCTCCGCTTTGAAATAAACAGGTAAAAAGAAAAATGAGTAACTGAGTAAAAGCGAACAACTGCCCGTCTCTGCACCCTGCTTCTCTAATGTTATTTGCTTTAGTCACCCAACACAATCATTATTATCTTCTAATAAAAATCTAATTACCATCAATCTTCATTCTCTTAAAACTTTAAGACCTGAAAATGGTTCAGCAACACTCTTCGGCCGGACCCAAAGGCCCCTCCCTCGTTCATGAAGATACATCTTTTGTTTTATATAGGGAAAATATATCGCATTTTCATTTCCTCACGGTGCCAATATTGAAATGTAGTTCATGGGTTCTCAAGTCTATAAATGGTACTCCTCGTTACTCCAATGCATATAATTGTGGTCTTCATTCACATTGTAAATGTCACCCTTCGAAGGATTGCATTACCACAATTTGGATAATCGAGGGTGATGTTTATAAACTTGAAACGCATGAAGCATACATTTCAATGAGTACTATTTGAGAATTGAAACTGCGATTTCCCCTTTTATACATACGTACATATGACATACTAGAAAAATAGTCCGTCCCGCTAAGATAGTTTCATATTTTCACAATTCGGTTTGTCCCACTTAAATTGTAGTATAACAATTTGGTAAATTTGTGTATTTCAAAATCATTCAAACTTTATTCATGATGAATTACTTTTATCATATTAAAAAGTTCTTTTTTAAGACAAGTTCTCGTTAAACCTCTTCGCCTATAATTGTATTAGTTTTTATTTGAAATTAAAAGACAATACGAATAAGATTAATACGAAGAATTTTGTGATAGGTTTGGTGACTGTGTTTTTCAGCTTATCGGTCAAATTTTTCATCAATCACATAATTTTTTTATTTCACGTGATGAATTGTGTAATAATAAGAAGAAGTAAGATTTTCTAGCTATATTGACGGAAGTTACTATAGATGATCATTTTAACTATTTTTCATATATTTTTTTTCTTTGTCGTATTCATAAAACATATTTTAAATACGGAGTATAATTTTCATAAATCAGCAGAAACGGTCAATCCAACTGCTCCAATCAAAATTCATAAATTTCAACAAGATTAATCCATTCAATCAATATTAGTGTCACCAAACAAGCTCCAAGTATTTAAAATTTTCATACTCCGTTTCCCCATAATTTACTTGAAGTCTATTTTCTTGCGTTGATCAAGTCCGTTTAAAACTTTAAATACAAACTACTTTTTACTACTCTCTCCGTTCCATCAAATAATTCACACTAGGATTTGAATCGGAGTTTAAGAAAGTGAGAATAAAGTAAAAAATGTATGGTTCTAGTTGAGTAAGAAAAAGGTAAATGAATGGTAATCACACAAAATTTTCCAAAAAAGAAAATGAGAGCTATTTTTTGGAAAAGACCAAAAAAGAAACCGAGAATTATTTTGACAGATGGAGATTATTATCTACTTGGTATATCTAATCTGATTTACTCCGTATTTAAATTTGGACTAGTGTCAGCCTGAAACAAGTCCAAGGCGAAAACATCACATTAATGTAACCGGAACTTTATGTACACAAGTTTATCATTTTCTGATACAGAGTTTACGAATCAATAATTTTTCTAAATCAGCAAAATCAATCAATCCAACTGCTCCAATCAAAATTCATAAATTTCAATAAGATCAATCCATTCAATCAATATCAGTGTCACCAAACAAGCTCTAAGTATTTAAAATTTGCACTCCGTTTCCCCATAATTTTCTTGAAGTCTGACTTTTTGCGTTGATCCGGTCCGTTTAAAACTTGAAATACGGAGTACTTTTTACTACTCTCCGTCCCATAAAATAGTTCCAACTAGGATTTGGATCGAAGTTTAAGAAAGTGAGAATAAAGTAAAAAATGTATGATTCTGGTTGAGTAAGAAAAAAGTAAATGAATAGTAGCTACACAAAATTTTCCAAAACGATGAGAACTATTTTTTAGGATGATCCAAAAAGAAAACCGAGAATTATTTTGCGAGAGGGAGAGTATTATCTACTTGGTATATCTATTCTAATTTATTTATTATTTTGGGTAAAGGGTAAATATCTAATCTAATTTATTTAAATTTGGACTAGTGTCAGCTTGAAAAGTCCAAGGCGAAAACATCACACATTAATGTAACCGGAATTTTATGTACACACGTTTATCATTTTCTAATACAGAGTTTACGAATCAATAATTTTTTTAATGTGATTACATAAATACTACTCCCTCCGGTTTTCTCACTTTCCTTTTTGGGATGTCCCTTATTTAAGTTCACACTTCCATTTTAGGAAACAAAACAGTGCAAAACAGTGCAAAACAGTGTCCAAACAGTGTCAAACAGTGCACTCCACAGTAAAGTCAAATTCATTTTCTTAATATGTGTGAAGTCAAACTGGGAACTTAAATAAGAACTGGAGGGAGTAGTATAAATTTTTAAATATTTTCTTGACGTCGGTCAAAATATCGTAACCATACTTCTGTTACAGTATTAATTAAACAAAAATGTAATTCAACTACGATAGAAAAAAGCAATAAATAAATTAGAGATTAAAATAGCAAGAGGAGCTAGGCCTTACTTCTGGGGATGGAAAACCGAGCTTTGATTGGATTGAAATGTGATTTGAGGCGTCGGATGGGGATGTGGATGATCTACCGCGGAGGAGCCTCTCAAAAATGGCCATTACAAGGAACATTAAAATCAGAATAGCAGTCGCAACGAATCCGAGCGAAACTGCATTTACAGAGCTGTCAAAATTCTGCCACTGATCGTCCTTGTCCGGGCCGCCGCCACAAGCGGCCGCCGGAGACACGCCCGGCGGCAGCACCAGTGCCCAACTAACACCACCCCGCCCCATCCAGCAAATTTAAACAAAGAGAGGAGTATTTCGATTGTCTTTCATGCATCACCTGGAAGCAGGGACTATTTAGCCCTAGAAACAGAAAGGCGCGGTAATTGCTGAATCGATGATGATAGGAAATGGGGATAACTCGAGCAGGTTAGATTGTAATTTGGCGAAGGTTTGTTTATGCTTGATAGTTGATACTCTGTATATGGAGTAGAACAATGCAAAAGGCTAAAAACAGAGAAGAAATTGAATCAGAGCGAGTTCAGGACAGAGAGCTATCGAGAGAAAGAGCTCGTGTAATAGCAGCAGAGAAAGTGCCGTGATGAATGATAATGATGATGATATGTAGACAGAATTCAATCATTTTCAATTTTCTGTTTTTTGTTTTATTTATAATAGACAGTATAACTATTATGATTAAACTAATGACGTTTATTATAATGTCCATCCACGACAAGATTTACAAATTAACTACAGTAGTGATTGGAACTGCAGATCCACTGGGGCAGAGAGTTGAGAGTAGAGAGGTGGTACTCCTGTTTTAAAAGAAAGTAATCAGATGAGAAGTCAAATTTGGACCTTACACAAAACAGTTCTATGTTCCCTTTCCCACAAAAAATCCTACTTTGATTTGGCACCATGTTTTATCATGTGGTACGTGTTTGGTTCTATTTTTTTTTGGGAAGGATTGGGAACAATATAAGTCCCATAACAGACTTCCTAATAGAAAAAGATCAAAGAAAATTTTGAAACAAACAAAAGAATTTATGGAATATATTTCATGACAAACGAAGTGATAGAGTATATTTTATGGGTAATGGAAAATTAACAACATGATTATTAGGTGTAACCAATGTTTTAAAAGGTGGCAAAAGGCACTTAGGCGTGAGGCGGCCGCACTGCATGATAGAAAGACATGAAAAAGACGATCAATAGGAGCAATGCTGACCACCAAAGGCGTGGTAAGTCGTAAGCGTATTCGCAAAAGGGCGAGACCTAGGAAAAAGTTTTTTTACATGAATTATTTTCTTTTTTAAAAAAAAGTTGATTAAATAAAATAAACAGTTTTATTTAAGAAATCTAATATGCAGTAGTAGTAAGAAGCAACAATATATCATTTTGTATTACACTTTTTATACATTTTATATATATTGGGAAACGTAAAAAATAGGCTCATTTTTTAATAATATTTTTAGATATCTATTCAATCTTAATAAATCACTAAAACGCTTTTTTATGTATAGGCTTCGTAGATTTCAAAAGCTTGAGGCTTGATCTTGTCGACTCACCACACCTCACGCCTTTTAGAACATACGTTCTAACTCTGGTATCCCAACACCACTTAATTTAGAATTGCACTATCCACCTTTATGTTCATTTGTCTTTTCTCTTTTCTATAGTTCATTTGTCCACAAGCCGATATTAATTTTTAAATTCTTTTAGAGGAAGACAATTAATATTGTTTGTTTATACTTTAAAACACATTTTTGTTTTCATTAAATTTGTAAAATCAAGCCAAGAAATAAATACTACGTAATAGACATGATAATTTGCACTAAATAAGGAGAACACAATTTGCACTATCCACCTTTGAGTTTTGAAGAGATTTTTTTGAAAGTATTACTGAAATAGAATTTATTTACAAAAATATGACTAAAGCTAATACTCCCTCCGTTACTAAATAAACTTCCAACTTTCCCTTTTCGTTCGTTCCAATTAAAACTTCCACTTTCCCTTTTTAGTAAAGAATTTGTGGTTCATAACATTTCTTGCACATTTCTCTCTCGTCTGCACAACTTTCCACCACACAATACCCGCTATCTTAAACTGTGTGCCAAATCTATTTGGAAGTTTTAATAGGAACGGAGGGATTATGAGTTTAGTATTAGGATGATTTAAATTTTAAAGTGAAACATAAGTAACTAGAACTAAAAATACTACTCCGTACTATATATACTTTTACTGATGATTGTTGCGCTTACCGCTTTTAGTGCTGCCTCCTCGTGGTTCAACAATCTTTCAACACTTGTCAGCCTCAATTTCACAGCATGCTGTTGTCAAGGGTCGAACCCGTAACCTTAGGCTCTGATACCACTTGAGAATCGTTGCACTTATGGCTACCCTAAAAGTATTCGCTGATAGTGTGTCACACATTTCCTCTCCTTATAGAACATGCTTAGCCCCACGTTTCAATTGCATCGATAGGCTGGCAAAATTGTTGGCATCGCATCCCTGCGACCCGACATTTATAAATAACTTTTATTTTAGTGATAAATCTACATTTTACTAACCGAACATGTATCACGTCTAATCCTTGTGGTCTTTTCTGCACTTCCATATTTTAGTAACTTGCGTCTTTTATCCCGTCCGACATTCCATCGAGATGGATTTGCAAACCCAATTTTACAAGCGGACTATGATCCCTCAAATATGCAGCCAAATATTTTGGTCGTTCAGTTCCATTATCTCCCTCTGAAAAACACTCAAAATTTGAACATTCTAGAATATACAATTCAGAAGATGCACTTTTCTAGATGCATTTGTATATTGGTGTTTGATGATATGAACAACTATATCTATCGTGGTCTGATGGTAGCTAGGGACCTTTTCTGACATCAAGGGAACATGTATTTAAATAACATTTCGAAGGAATTAAGCAGAGAATTTATACACCAACTTATTGATTAAGGGAAGTGATGTTACCTGAATAACCTCCTTAATTCAAGATGTGCTGGAGAAATGAAATTAACCTACTCCAAACGAGTCACCCCAAACTAAAGTGTTTACGAACCCCACAAACCACTATCACACCATGCAATCTAGTCAAAAGGATCCCCAAGGGGTACGATTTACTTTGAAATTATAGATTAGATTCAAAATGTGATAAACAACTGTGTCAGTTATTCAATGCAAAGAAACAAAGAAACTTGCGTTTGTCCTAAACATGTTGTTCACAGTTTTTGTTTCGTGATGTATGTGTACATATCTATAGGCTTGAAGTTTTGGATGAAGAACCTGGTGATAATGGAGCAAGACTCCTAACTGTACAAATCGAAAAATTAATTCAATAAAACAACACTTTACTTTTTCTCTTGCATACGTGATTTTACATGGTATCAGAGCAGGAGTAAAAATCCAGCGAATACCTATGACGATGACAAACCCCCAGAGCTTCACCCCTGGGAACGAAAATCAAACGACTTCCGACAATGGTCTATGTGGACGTGAACGTACCAGTCAAGGCAGAGGACGTGGTAAACCTATGGCACACACCGTGATAGGTGATGCGTCTAATGATGTCGCAACCAAGGTGTCGGGCTTTACTGATGAGCAGTGGAAGAGTATCATGAAAATGATGGAAACTTGTAAGTTTTTACCTCACGAGGAAAAACTCTCAGGTAAAGAGGCCGATGTGGATTGGCTTCTTGATTCAGGAGCTTCATATCACATGACGGGAAACATGAGTCTAATGCACAAGAGGGAGAAACTAGCTCTGGTTCCAGTTACTCTGCCAAATGGGAACATAACCCACGCCACAAGTGTGGGAGATATTCAATTGAGTCCGAAGATTTTAATTAAAAATGTTCTTTTGCTGCCTAGATTGAGATGCAATTTGATTTCAGTAACGCGATTAATTGATGACTTGAAATGTGATTTATATTTTACTAATGCCATATGTGTTGTACATAACCTACCTTCGAGGATGCCGATTGGAGTGGGTAGACGGAGCGGGGGAGTTTATTATTTTTCACTGTCTTGATCGGATTTGTGCGCTCTCAACCTCTGCTTCATCATGATCTATGGCACTCAAGATTAGGACACTCATCCAAGACAGTGTTGCGTTTAGTCAACAAACAAAATAAATATTTGTTTAATATTGATTCGAATAATGCTTGTGATGCATGCTTACGCGGAAAACAGACTCGTGGCATTTTTAATGATAATATAGCTAGATCAGTTGAACTGTTTGAGATGATTCATTGTGATATTTGGGGTCCTTATCAAACACCTGCTTCTTGTGGTGTTAGATATTTTTTAACAATCGTAGATGATTATTCTCGTGCTGTCTGGATTCATTTGCTATGTGAAAAAGGAGAGGTGAAAAATGTCCTTAAGCAATTTGTTAAGTTGTCAGTTGTCAGGACTGATAATGACCAGTTATCTAAAAGAATATTTTTTGACTAATGGCATAATTTTTCAAACGTCCTGTGTTTACACAGCACAACAGAATGGGAGAGTAGAAAGAAAACATAGACATATTTTGGATATGGCGCGCACACTACGATTTCATGCTCACTTACCAATAAAGTTTTGGGGAAAATGTGTGTTGATGGCAGGGTATTTGATCAATAGGTTACCATCTCTGGTAATTGATAATAAAAGCCCTAATGAATTGTTGTATCATAAATTACCTGCATATAATCAATTAAAGGTTTTTAGTTGTCTATGTTATGCACACAATAAGGAGAGAAGGGGAGATAATTTGCTCCCCGGGGCATCACATGTGTTTTTTTGTTTGGATTATGCATATTCACAAAAGGGATGAAATTTTTTTTATTTGGAAAATAACCGTCATTTTGTATCTCGTGACGTTAAATTTGTTGAAAACATATTTCCGTTTGCATTTGAGGAATCTGCCAATGTTGAGGGTTCAGATGTCTCTAAACTAATGCATGCGGGTGATAATATGGCATGTCTACAGTCACTTCATTTTGAGGACTCTGATAGTGAACACATAATACCTGGAGCTACTTCAAATTTGGAGCATTCTGGCGCTGGTGGAACTCCACATGGAGTGCATTATCATGAGTCATCACACGGGAGCTTTACACATAATGGGCATATCATTGTTGACTCTCCAAATATGGCCAAATTAATTGACACTCCAACAAGTTCCTTAGAAGCACCGATATTGCCCAGTAAACGTCTGAGACGTCCACAAGCGTGGCTCACGGATTATACTGTACAACTTAACACAGTGAAAATGACCACTCCCCTCAACGTCTACTCCATCTGCATCATTTTGATTGTCTTACTTTATTTTTTGGATTTTTCCAAAATGAATGTCCTATTTCCCCATTTCGATTAAAAATATGTGGTTCTTATCATTTCACTTTTTTCTATTCAAATCTCAATCGCAACAATTACTTTTCAACCACTTTATTAATAATTGTGTCAAACTAAATTACTAAAACAAGACATCCAATATGAAAATGAGGTGGTAACATTTATGAATAAGACATGAAGAATTTCAAAATTCATGAAATGGTATGAACTTTTTGAAACATATTTCTCGTTTTGAGGGAAAACTATATATTACATATGTTAAGACTCGGGTTTCATCCTAGAAGGTTCAAGGAGGAATACTCCAAGATCTCAGTAGACCAGACATTTTGTCTAAATTGAGTTATCGTTCATTTCTTTTGTGTACTCGTCATTGTTTGTTTTTATAATTTTGCGGCGTTGTTTTTCATAGGAACACACAATGATTATGAATTGTTTTAGCTCTGATACCATGTTAGGATTCGTAGTTCCATCCTAAAAGGTTAAATCTGATATGTCACTTTTTAGGAACTAATTGACTAAAAATATAATGCCTCAATGAAATTCCGATCAATTCCTGCCTGACCTAGCTCATTTGGTCAGATCCATATACAGTAGACAAATATTCAAAGTTATCATATGTAAATATTACTAACAAGACTTAATGAATAACTAAATCCTAGACAGAGTCTGGATTCATAATGCATAACTATGAATAGAACTTGTAATTTTTGGCTTGCATTATTATCTGTCTTAATGCGCCTATTGGAGCTACAACTATTAGAGAAATTCCAAATATAATGCATATTATGTTTATGATCTATGTCCAACTTAATGTCTTGGGCTTCTTGAGCCATATGATGCATGAAAATAAGTGGTTGGTGCAAAAGCAAAGCCTCCAAAAAATCCAAGTAACCCACTAAAGAACGGGAATGTGCAACCCA